AAGTGTGGCAGTCAAGGTTTGCCTACATTCACTGAACTGAGAGGAAGATAAAATGTCAATGAGCCCTTCTGTTTTCCCAAAAGGGCATGGGGATAGGATTTGGTCTGTTTCCATGTTTTTATTTTGTCATGTCTCCTTGTGTTCAAGCAGGCACCACCTCCTTTTGGTGCCCGGTAATTGGTTTGAACCTCTAGACTTTACTGCATTAAAAATAATAATACAGAGCTGTCTGCATTCTTCTGATCTCTTTGATAGGCAGAGATTTTATAATCCTGGCTTCTAATACAGTGTGATACTGCTTTCATTTCTGCTCAGCATTTCTGTCTTAATTTAGTTGTGCTTAAGTTGGCAACTGCCCTCAAGCCTGTGTAGCTCAACATTCTTCCCAAATAGGGCTACATATCTGAGAGGAATTTAAATTTAAAACACCAATAATAACAACAGGAAAACCTAGCCCTTCATTCAGTTTTGGAACAGCTTGCCTCTTTTGCAAAGGATCTTCTGATAAAATTATAAAACCTCCAAGGACGGCAATGTTCTAGCCCACTGCCATCAGCCATGGTGTGTAGTGTAGACAAGTATTATGTGAATGGGTAATGAGTTCTGGCCACTCTACTAATGTCACTGTTTATCCTCATTCTAAAATATTTGTGTTCTGTGCACAGCTTTTGCTGTTGCCCTTCTCCATTAATTCTGGGTCATTATTCATCAGTAATCATTGTTCATTGCTTCCCTCTTTGTCTTGCCAAGAAGATGATTTTTTTCCTCCCTCGTGTTGTGCTTGCTGGTTTCTCACTCATTTCTGTAGCGCTGGTCCAAGTGTCAGCAAAATGTTCACCCAGCGTGACAGGTCTAGCTGTGGTGACCTCAGCTCACCTGACTTCCTATAAGGACCACCTGGTCTTCCTGGGCAGGCTCAGTAAGCATTCCCCATTCTTCGCTCTGAGGCTTCAGGAAGAGCTGCAGGAAGAAAGTAAAGCCAGCTTCCTAACAGTGGTCTGTGTCATGGTGCTGCACATCACTGCTGGAGGGGCATGAAGAAAACATGTCCCACCAAGGCACTGGAACAGCTGCTTTCTTCAGGCTGTGCATGCTGCTTCTAAGGATTTGTGTCACAACAAGGGGTGCTCAGGTTTTAGAAGACTGCTCTTCCTCTCTGCTCTGCCAGGCTGCACATAGCCCTCTGTCATAACTGGACTCCCAGGGGCCAAGGCTTTATGAAAGCACCACATTGTACCTAGATCATCAATAAGTGCTGGAGTCTTGGAGTGCCAGTCAGACACGTATTGTGTATCATATGTATTGTCACATGAACGATCATATCTCACTGCTGGGCTGTCGCCCAGAAGCTTGTATTTCATTGTTTATTTTCTCCTCTCCTAACTGGATCTGAAAAGATGCTTATGAGAAGAGATCTTATTTCCTGAAGCTTTTGGCTTCTGTGCAGAGGCAGGCATAAAATTAATTTCTTTCTGCTGGCATAAGACTGTTAATACTTCTTATATCCAGATTCTGATGTACTAAAATACCCAAATATAGAAACTGCAATGAAAACTGAGCCTATTATTGGTTTATTGCTTCACAGACTGCCCATGTATGGCGTAAATATCTTATAAATAAATTAGAGAGAGAAGACAGACACATAGAAACAAACCTAAGTACAGAAAAGTCCTCATTCTACAGTCAGATCTGTCCTGGCCACAGATAATGTTGTGTGGGTTTTGGCTCTTGCATCTTAGGTATATTTGGACATGGAGTTCAGTGCACAGTATAAACTTCACCTCTGCTCTTGACTCAGGTGGTAAGTTGTGTGTAATGGCATCTGTAGGCTCCTGCACTGTGATGAGATTCATACTCATATTTTGATAATGAAATTCTGAGTCCTTCTGTTAGCAAAGATAACCTTCGCTATGTAAATCAACACAGTGGTATTTTGTTGAGTTTGCCAACAGGCAAATAACACTAATGTCTGTGTGAAGTTTCTCAGTATTAACTTTGAAATACAGCTAAGGCCATTTAAATGCCATCACTTTCAAGTCACTAGTCAAAATAAAATCACCCAGCTTGAGTTCCTGAAATTTAATTATAAGGAACAGCTGGGCCTAGTTTCAATTTTTACTCTAAGGACCCAGACAAAGAAACAAGTACATGGGCTCAGAAGGCACAAATACACACTGAGTTTCTCAGCCCATACTGGTCAGGCACAGTTGCTGAAAAATGCACTCAGATTCCCTCCAAAGATCATTCAATTACCCTGAGTAGGCAACTGAGGTCAAGCAAAAACAACCCCTCCAGTCCTCCCTTACAGCATCTCTAGCAGTTATTCTCCATTCATTGCACTGATCCTCACACATTTCAGTTCATGGAGGTGGAAGTTGAGGTTGGTGTCTGTTCCTCATTCATCCACAAGGAATTTGATTTTTAATGATGCTCCTGGAGAAACTCCACAGGAAACCATTTCAATCCTGCCCCGTCTCCTCTCCTTGCACACTGGCCATAATTCTCCTGCTTTGTCACAAATCAGAAGAATTGACTGCTTGTGTGAAAAGGGCTGTGGTTTCAGTCTGAGGCTGCTGGAGCCTCTAATTCACACTAAAATTGGTGCAAAAGCCTGCTTTGGTGCCAGAGGATCTGGCTCAATGATCATCCCTCCAGTTCAAGCTGTCTCCAGTTATATACCTGAAAGGATTTTAACCTACTTGCTGTACTATGGGTGGATTATAACCTGCTATAAAATTCATTCATATCCATTGGGAAATGATCTGTGGAAAATAGCCATGACAGTATGACATAAAGGTACAGCTGTCTAGGAATAAAAGTCAATGGCATAACCTTTAGCACCTGTTCAGCATTAAGGGAAAGTACAATGCATTTAGGCTTTGTACAGATTCAGATGAAAAAAGGTCTAATTTCCTCATCTGCTCAGATCTGGCAGAAGATAAATTCTCCACTTTCAGGTATGGACCTATATCAGTTTTAAAGCATTGTCCCACTTCATTGTGCTCCAGTTTTCTGTCTGATTTAGAGAATGGAATCTCTAAAGGTCTCCTTTCAGGATCCAGAGTTGATTTCAAAGGGTCCCAAATATCAAGTTTTCAGAAAGGAAACACTGAGCTTTTTGTTTAAAAAAAAAGTCTGCAGACATTTTAAAGCATCAAGCTACTAATGCATAAAGCTTCATGGAAACGTGTGCAATGCAGCGAACC